TCCAGGCACCGGGCAGTGCTCCCTGTTGTTGGTTCTGGCGTGGTCTTGGCCCTGGGCGTGCACGTTGCTAGGCTTCAGAGCGGAACAGAAGTGCCTTGCTTAGTGCTCAAAGGGAGGAGAAAGGTATCAGAGTATCTTTCTTCTGTGTCCTCAAGCTGTTATGGTGGGAGGGTAAGTGCAGACGAGAGCCAACCAAAGGCCTTCTTGGAGACAGGGTCAATCATAGAACCAACTGAGGTTTATAGGCCTGGAGATTTGATTATGTTATTTTTAAAAGTAACGCTTAAATGGCTCTTGCTGTGACAGACACTGTTCTAAGTGCTTCTAAATATTAACTCATTTAATCATTAAAATATTAGCACATTTAATCCTTACAACAGCCCTGTGAACTGGGAACTACTATTGTCTGAATTTTACAGATGAGGAGACTGAGGCCCAAAGAGATTAAGCGATTGCTCAACGTCACATAGCTAATAAGTGGTAGCTCCAGGATCTGAACCCAGACAGTGTGGCTCCTGAATCCATGCTTTTTTAACCACTAGACTATGCTGCCTCTGGTTTATGTGCAGTCCCCCAGGATTTCCTTTGGAGCTTTCATGCCTGATTTTACAAAATATCTTCTCCACAGTATAACACCTTGTTAGGTGCTGGGAAATGTGTGTATCCCTCTGAAATTTCTGTGCAGCTCTTGGGATATCTGCTAGCAGTCATGTATTCACAGGATCCATCCTGCAGAAGACATCAGAATCACACTTTCTCTCTCTCTGGGGATCAGGGCACAAAAAAGTAATTTCTACTCGTACAAACTTTAAGAAATAAAATTTCAGCATATATTTAATAAAAATAAAATGTAACACTATAAAAATAAAATGTAACACTACGTTATCTTCCACATATGAAGTGCCCCACACCCACGTAAGCAAGGATATTACTCCGGAATCTGTTCTCAATCAGGGTGAGTTTGCAGGGAACCGACCCTTATAAACAACATTATGAATTTTTTAGATGGTTGGTTGGACTTGGAAGTGCAGTTCAGAGCTGTAGGACAGATCTTCTGGTGAGAGTAGCAAACTGGTCTAGAGAAAAGCCCATGACATTGGCCTCTTTGCCCTGGAAGACCCTGGCCATGGCCCTGAATGTCTGCAAATCATCTGACCTTCCCTATCTCCCTCTGGCTGTGCCCCAAATGGCTTTCCCTGGTAATAGCTGGGTTAGCAGAGAAGCTTCACGGGAAGTTAGCATGAGCTTGGCTTTCTGCTGCCTACACGAACTCTGACTTGTGTTGAGGGACTGGGCCTCATTGTTGTACAGAGAGAGATGTGTCTCTGGCCTCTTCCAGGACTCTTGCTGGCCTCCCGCTCATGATTCCAAGGCCTCTGCCCATTCTCCTTCTCCAAAATGCTTGTCCTGGATCTTCCTCCTACAGTTCTAAGATGGCCGGAACTGGTAGAAAGTGAATTCCTGCTAAGAAATTAGCTGATAACATCTGAGGCGTGGGCTCCCCTCTGTATATGTATTTGCATCTTAATAGGGACATTCAGAACAAAAAAGTTTAAAAATTCAAAGGAATAAATATCTAGGAGTAGACAGTAGGTCTCCTTGACCCAAGAGAGATTTGGGAAGCTGGTGTACTGTAGATCTCCCACATTTGTATATGCATTTAAAACTGGCCCTAATGTCAGTGTCAGGTCCACAGATGTCCTCAAATCCAGAATAAAAATATTCACTTTGGAGCAACTCTCTTTGAGTTTGTTCTTAGGACGTCTCAAATCCTAGGACCCAGGTCAGGGCATGCTAATGAGCTGGGTTTATTGGCAACTGGAGCAGGTCTTTGTCAAGTGGGGTATTTCCTCTGACGTCGCTGGACTGCTCATCAGCTCCAAGGTGGGTCTTTGCCAGGAAAACCTGAATTGAAGAGGAGGCTTGGCCTTCGGGGAAAAGGGCCTGTGTCCTGGCAGCCTGGGTGTGTTTGCTCCAGGCAGGCTTCTCAGAGCCACTGACTCCCTGGGTTAATGCACTTTTGACCCAAGAGGGAAAAAAGAGGTGTAAACAGCAGACCTACAGTAGTTGGCTCTTACTGGGTGGGACTTTTGAACTGGTGGGATGGTGACAGCCCCAGACCCACCTACTCCATCAGAGGCCACTGTCTTCCCTGCCCACCCCGCCTGCCTTCCCTCTCCTCCCCTCCCTCATCACTTCCCTCCCTATTCTCATGAAGACCAGCTGCCTAGGTGACACCTTTTCTTCCAAAACGTTCTTTGTATTTCTCCTTTGACCCTTTTCTCAAAATATCCTCTCTTTCCTCCTTTAATGCCAGACTGTTGGCATCTGTCTCCTCGTGTTGTGCAGGCTGCCATCTCTGGCTCTCCATGGTTTTATAATTGCCTCTGGTTAAAGTTTAAATAGATGGGTTTCAGCCCAAGAGAAAAATGTAAACAAGACTTTTCTGCAGTCTTTCAGAACTGCTGACTTCCAGTGCTTTTGAATTCTCTGCTAGGAAATTCATTCAGCTCCTCCCTAACCAAGGAACTGAGAAACACCACTGGATTTTCAGAGACGTGAGAGCCACTCTGAAACCATTGAGAGGCTTTTAGATAATCTACACTTTTCCTTTTAACTCAATTAAGCCATCAGGATCCAGTTCCTATTCTAGGATGTTTGTCTGGTGTATTGAGGTGAGAGAACAGTTAAGCAGTCTTCACGGGCTGGCTTCTGAAGAAAGGAAGGAAGGAAGTGAAAGGAATTGTCATTTCCCTGCTGGAATTTTTTCTTTGAGGGGAGGAGGAGATTGTGTTTGTCACCCCAGGTTTTTTGGTTGATGAGGTTGTCTTATGAGTCATGAGAATGGGACCATTCTTGGCCAATGCAGAACGAAGAGGGCAGGCTGGGTTTGAACTGGTGATTGAGGCATTTTTCCTTTCATTTGCTGTGTTTCCTCAGAAGTAAGTAGGTCATTTATTTGGAGTCTTGACAAGGAATATTGATTTTCTATATTTTTCTGCTTTGTGTACTTGTGAGCTGGTGTCAGGATGGATTCAGCAATAATTTCAGATTTAGTCAAGGATTTGATTGGATCCTTGCCTTCCCCTGCTCAAAAACCTTTAATAATTCTCCATTTCAAGTTCAGACTCCCATTCAAAGCCTTCCATGGTCCGACTCCAACCCACCTTCACCTTCCACTATTCCAACTACACATCGACTTCACTGAACCTTCCACCCAGCTCCTGTAACGTGTTCCCTTATGCTGTGGTGCCGTGTTCCCTTATGCTGTGGTGTCCTAACGCCTGCTGACCCCTCCCCTGGCCTCCTCAGAGTCTTCTCAGAATGCCATCTTCCTGGGTTCTGCGAAACATTTCTTGTTCTCCCTGCACCACCAGAACCAACCACTCCTTCCGTCAGTTCTCAAGCAGCCCGTGATGACCCCCTTCACGGTTGCCCTTATTTCATTGTCTATTGTTCAGCATATGCTTATGTATCTGCTTCCTGCACTAGCTACTTAGCTCTTTGAGTAGAGGATGGTTCTTTATATCCTCGCATGCTGCCCTGCCTCATGTGTGGCCCATCATCAGTGCTCAATAAATATTCAATTTTTACTTTTCAACCACTCTGAAAAGTTCATGGCAATATATTTTTTGTGTGTGTGAGGAAGATTGGCCATGAGCTAACATCTGTTGCCAATCTTCCTCTTTCTGCTGAGGAATATTGGCCCTGAGCTAACATCTGTGCCCATCTCCCTCTATTTTGTACATGGGACACCACCACAGCATGGCTTGATGAGTGGTGTATAGGTCCGCGCCAGGATCTGAACCCGTGAACCCTGAGCTGCTGAAGCAGAGCATGGGAACTTAACCACTACACCACCAGGCCAGCCCGATGTCAGTATTTTTAAAATAGCTCTTGAGAGGAACCAAGAAGAGTGAGGAAAGGAGACAGAAAGATTTGCGTTCCAATCTAAGCTCTGCTGAGTACTAGGATGGCTTCCTAATTCTTACCCTTTCCACGCCTCACTTGCTTCATTTGTAAAATGAAGACAACAAGATCTCTTTTATGGGTTTTTGTGATAATTAAAATGAGATCATGCACTGCTGGTGGGAATGCAAACTGGTGCAGCCACTACGGAAAATAGTATGGAGATTTCTCAAGAAGTTAAAAATAGAAATACCATATGATCCAGCTATTCCACTTCTGAGTATTTATCCAAAGACCATGAAAATACTAATTCGAAAAGATATATGCATCCCTATGTTCATCACAGCATTATTCACAATAACCAAGACTTGGAAGCAACCCAAGTGCCCATCAACGAATGAATGGATAAAGAAGATGTGATATGTATATAGGATGGAATACTACTTAGCCATGAAAAAAAACAAAAAATCATGCCATTTGCAACAATATGGATGAACCCTGAGGGTATTATGCTAAGTGAAATAAGTCAGACAGAGACAAATACCGTATGATTTCACTCATATGGGGAAGATAAACAAACAAACACATAGATAAGGAGAACAGATTGGTGATTACCAGAGAGGAAGGGGGCAGGGAGAGGGTGAAAGGAGTAAAGAGGCACATATGTATGGTGATGGATGAAAACTAGACTTTTGGTGGTGAATATGATGAAGTCTATACAGAAGCTGAAATCTAATAATGTACATCTGAAATTTACACAATGTTATAAATCAATGTGACTTCAATAAAATAATTAAAAAGGTAATAAATAAACAAATAAGTAAGCCAACAGGAAAAAAAAGTGAGAATGTGCAAGTAAAGAACCTAACACGGTTCTGTCTTATCCTCACCCTCCCTTGATGTTACAGCATTTTAAATGTTGAAACATTTTACTCTGGGACATAAATCATATTAATCAATTTAATAGATATGTGCCACATTTTCCCATTGCTAATACAGCTTTCCTTGATGCAACAATTTCTTCTCATCTGCACTTGCAAGTTTTTCAAAGGCTTACCTTGTAAGTAGGATTGGACATATCTATTGGTCACCCAAAGAAATCCCAGTGCTGGGGATGATGATGAGGCAGCTGCTCCTCTTGGTGCTGAGTTATTTCCATATGTGGAGGGTCATCCTCACACCATCACACTGGCCTCTTCACTTCCAATGTTAACTTTAAAGAGGAGAAGAGACACCCATCAGGACATCCTTCTCCTTCCTCCTCCACTAAAAGTCAGTTGCTACTTTCACCCATGGGAGGGGGGCAATGGATTCCACGCATCCATCCATTTATTGCATGCCTGCTGTGTGCCAGGTACTAAGATAAAAGATGAATCAGCCAAGGTCCCTGACTTTAATCAATCTAATGGGTTTGGGGGGAAAGATAAGCATCTAACTAAACAAAGATGATATGGGTACAGAGGAGGGGACAGTCAGCGTGTCAGGAAAAGCTTCAGAAAGAGGTGATACTTGAGCTGAGTCCTGAAATGTGGCTGCCAACAGACAATGGAGGCAAAGCATTTCAGGCAGAGGAACCCCAACTCTTGTTCCTTCCCCTCAGGTCACTACACATAGCCTGAAACATCTGACTCTACCATCTTTACCCTGTCCAACCGTCTTCTCCTAGGTCCAAGCAACTTAAATTCTTGCTTGGCAGCAGCAACGCTATTAGTGCTGGTTCTGATCAGAGAACTGACATTAGGAGCTCTGCTGCTGCTTTTGTTGCCAACGCCAGAAAACAGCTGGGGTGGTTTGAGCTCCCAGGGGGAGGGGGAGGAGTCGAGCATGTATGTGCGTGCATACCTGTGTCTGTGTGTGTGTGAGTTTGAGAGTGTGTGGGGGTGTGTCCATTTGGATGGCCGGCTAGATGTTTATCTACAGGTGCTGCCTCAGAAAACAGAAGTGGATATTGAGAAAACAGTGATAGCTGGAGATCTCACAGACAAGCTGAAACACTGCTCAGAGAAGGGGGAGGTTGAAACAACCTCGACCAAAACAAAATGAAACAGAGAAGGAAGTTGCATCAGAAGAGGAAGAATGCCAATGTCATGCTGAAGAGCCACAAATGTCACAAAATAAAAATAAAAAGTGAGACTCTAATTTTACCTAGTCAAATACTATTACAATATTTTCTTCTTTACAGTATTATTAAAATTACTGAAACAATAATATTTAGTGCAGCAAACATGGAGAATACAGAAAAACACAAATAAAAATTGCTATAATTTTTTTTTTTTTGGTGAGGAAGATTGGCCCTGAGCTAACATCCATGCCAATCTTCCTCTGTTGTGTACATGGGACGCTGCCGCAGCATGGCTTGATGAGTGGTGTGTAGGTCCACGCCTAGAATCCGAACCCTCGAACCCTGGGCTGCCTAAGTAGAGCGCATGAACTTGACCACTAGGCCACTGAGCGGGCCCCTGCTGTAATTTTTTTTTTTTTTTTTAAGATTTTATTTATTCAGTTTTTCCCCCCAAAGCCCCAGTAGATAGTTGTATGTCATAGGTTCACATCCTTCTAGTTGCTGTACGTGGGACTCGG